AAATTCCCAACTTATATTTAAATAATTTTAATTGGTTTCGTAGTATTGAACACCAACAACAAACTTTCACTTTCTAGTCATGCATGCCATGGTTGTCAATACCGTTCAGTTCAATTCCTTCCGTGTGACTAACCCTTCTTTTCAACCAATGAAAATATTATTTTTTATTAAAAATTTTCACTATTGATGATATTTTATCCAAATTAATTATGTTTTTATTTTATTTTATTAAATTCGTTACTTGATGTCCATGAAATTCAATCCAATTGTTATTGACACTTTTTTTTAAAATAATTTTTAATATCTTTAAAGCAATTTAACACAATATCATGCATTGATGTATATACGCTCTAAAATACTTTAACATCCTCCAGTTTTATATATATTATGATTATTCATTATAATTTGAATATTTATCACTTATATCATGAATTTTTGCACTGCACTTAACATCATCTTCAAATAAAAATCAATAAAAAAAGTCATTATTTTTCTAAAAAACCTTTACAATACTTGTTATTTAATTAACATGATTTAAATAAATTATAAATAAATAAAAAAATATGTTTTTATATAGTTCATCTAATTATATTATAAACCCTTAATATAAAACCTTTGAGTGAGCTATCTTATCATAAGTTTTATCATCAATATTTTGAATGACAACAATTACTGTAAACAAAAAAAAAAACAAACTAGTTTCTAGAATTTTCTTTGAAAAAAAAATCTCTTTATTTTCTCTTACAGAAACACATTTTATTCTAAAATATTTTCTAGCCAAGTTTACATTCATAGTTGTTAATGTTATGCAGCACATGGTAAAGTAAAATAACCACAAATGATTGTTGATTTTTAATATCAATTGAAAAAAACAAGAGTGAATGATAAAGATATTTGTTACATACCAAAACCTTCTAAAACCAAAAAAACCATAAGTATATAAATGTTTTTAAAATATTTAATTTAATTTATTAATGTATTCACTTCTCAAAAAGTTATTACAATTATTTATATTAAAAAACTAAAAAATCATAATGGTACGGAAAAATATCTTAATAAAATATATAAAAAATACAAATACGAAAACATTTATTTTCCTAAAATGGTACTGGAAAGGGGAAAAGAAGTTTGGGGGAGGGGGGATGCATGAGACCGACATCCAAGAAATTATTAGACCGAACACACAAGCTAGAAAATCCTTGCAAATCAAGGATTGAAGTTGTTACGAGGCCAGCTTTTGGTAACATCAAATGGCTACCCTATATTATCACTTGAACCAGTTCCAAATGATCCAGGCGGCCTCAGGTCGCTTCCACTAGCACTGCCTGCTCCGCCTCCACTATGGCCGCGACGATGCATCCCCTGCAGTCCATGAAAAGGATTTCCACCAGTACCGCTTCCTGCAAAATTACTTCCAGGAAGCAGCCCCAGTCCTAAATTCTCTCCACCCATATCTCCATGAGCCAGCCAAGGATCAACATTATTCACAACAGCGCTATTGCGACCCGTATTATTTACATGAGGCAGCCACAGGTCGAAGTTGTTTTCACCAGTGCTATTGCCCCCTACATCATTTCCTCGAGGCAAATCCAGATCAAAATTGCGTCCAACACCATTGTTACCTCCTGGATTAAATCCTGGGTCACGAGGCAGCCAATGATCAAAACCGTTTCCAGCATTGTTACCTCCTGTCATATTGCTGCCAAGAGGTAGCCTCAAATCAAAATTGTTTCCACCTGCAGAACTGCTGCCTCTTAAACTTTCATTTTCATGAGGCAGCTGCCCCAGATCAAAATTATGTCCATCACGGATGCCTCCCATATTTCTGCTATGAGGGAGGCCTAATCCAAAAATGTCTCTAAAACTGCTGCCACCACCACCATTATGCCCATGGTGGAATCCAATATCAGGTCCCCATCCAGAGCTTACACCAGTAAAGTTAATTAGATGTGGTAGCCCCAAGACATTTCTGGCACTGCTACCTCCAGCAACATTATGTTCAGTGTTGTTTATTATATCAGTGAACCAGTGGTCCCATGATGCACAACCATCTTTTGGATTGTTTCTCCCATCTCCAGGTTCTCCTCCAGCTTGGCCGCTAGTTCCATCATCGTCGCCACCATCATGCTTTTTAGGGTCTTGATGATTAGAAGGAAAAGGACCAGGTGGGAATGCACCTGGCTGGAGTGGAGGAATTTGTTGGAAATATTCAACCCTTTTCCTTATTTCCTTCATTTTCTCCTCCACCAACCAAGTTAAACCACACAATTGAGTTTCGTCCAAGCCATCGAATCCTTTATCTTGGTAAACATGTTGCATGAGACCAGCCATCTCCAACACCCTGTTATTCTTTAGGTGCTTCCTGGACTGGTCATTTAGTTTGGCCATCCTCTCTTTCAGATAAGTTTCTTGATTCATCATCTTCTTATAATGCTCCATGTCGGGCATGTTTTGGAACCTCATAAGAAGTTGTTGCGCCTCAGGGCGTGACGGCCAGACAGCTGGTTCGGGCTCATCTGGACTGTAGATGATAACAAAGGCCTCGATGCCACATAGTATGGTTAGCTCGCTCACTTTTTTCAGCAACCCGACTCTCCTTTTCTTGAGGCTAGCTTTCCTCGCAGCATCATTCACTATCCACGTAAGCTTAACCTTCTTTCTCGTCATGTTTGCTTTTCACTCTTGCTCTAAACCATACCCAATGGGAGGTTTATATAGCAGATGACAAAAGTGACAAGGGCTAAGAAAGCATTAATTGCAGTGGCCAAAATTGGAAAAGAGCAAAGAAAAAAAAGGGGTGAAGGCCTTATTGGATCTTAAGAGGTTATCTGCATATGGGTTAAAAATCCAGAAGCCAAGATTCTATAATCATGCATTTTTGGTAAGAGTATTAAAATTTCTTTTCTTTTTATGGTAGGATAGTCATATCCGATTAATTACAGGTTTTCAAAATTTGGGCAGACCATTTGTTGTACACATCTACTATCTGATTTTTCATGGTGCAAATCTGCACCAAGTTGCACAGTAGTTTTATCATGGAATTACAAATTAATGGCTTAAATTTACATACGGAAAACTCTACAAAGATTAAGTTTCTTTCCAGGTTGATAAATGGACCAGAAAGGTTGAGAATAAATAGGGTACCACGACTACTTCTAAAACAAGTCCATGGTTAGGTTTAAAAGAGACTCTTCAATATTTAAATTAACACATAATAGAGGAAAAAAGTTTTGAAGGGTTGTGTAAGTTTACAAAGCTAGACAGAGATCGTAAAGATAATTGCTTGGTTGGAAATAAATATATTATATTTAGATGTGTTTGGAAATATAGTAGAAATTACAGTTTAAAATATATTTTATTTAGAAATATATAGGAAATAATATCTTTATTATTTTTTAAAAATTATTTTTAATATTAACTTATTAAAACAATTTAAAAACAAAAAAAAATTAAATTTTGAAAAAACATGATTTTGACTATGTTCTCAAATACGCTTATTAGTATTTCATCCATACAGTTGTAATTGGTGTTGGATATAATTTTTAAATATCTCAAGCAAATTTAAAATTGCTGGAACTCCTTACACAGAGTACTACATATTGCTCGGTCTTAACATTAATAAAATAGTAAGCGAACAAGTGAGAATCAGTTCTTGAAAAGAAAAAAGGTAAAAATGACATAAAAGAACTTATACCTGTCATATGGAAATAGAATACATGCGGACAAGGTTCTCTTGTAAACCTAGAACTAGAACTTTGCACGGCTACGGGCTTGCAATGTAACCTTCGAATTACAGAGATAAATAATATTACCGGTCTTCAATTTTCTGAGCTACATTGCTTAGTGTGATGAATATATAGGAAATAATTATTGAGAGATAACTATATAGTTGTTGAGGGCAGATAAAATAAAATAAACATACAAGAAAAATGTGCAGATGTTACTAATTTAAATTTTATTTTTTTTTCCAAACAAGTTTTTTTTTCTAAAAAAAGAGTTATTAAATACATCTTCCATCCATCTAGATCAATTTGTTAAATTCGTGATTTAAATTATAAATTTAATTGAGTTTAATAACTTTATTTTTTAATTATTTTTTATTTAATAATATAATAAAAAAATAAACAATTATAAAAAAATATCAAATAATATTTTTTAAAAAAATACCATGCTAGTTTATATAAAAAAATATTTGCTAATATTATAAAAAATTTGCTATAAACTTATTACAAAAATAACGTAAATCAAATGCTATTTATTAAAATAACATCTAAGATATGTTATTAATTAATTTCAAATATATATAAAATAATATTTGTAATATATTTTAAGTTAATTAATTTAAAGAATTTAAATCAAATTGTAGGGTAAAAAAAAAAAACACTAAGAGGAGGTGAGGCGCGCTAGATGGCCCATTAAAAACAAGCTCCGGCAAGTCGGCCTGCCACTCTCTTTCATTTTGCTCAGGTGCTGGAATGCAGATCACTGTTTTCCACATCCGCTCATTTGCCATTCATTTGTCAAGCGTCAATGGCTAATGTTTCATCCTTTTCTCCCTTAGCACCCATCGCCATTTGCTTCTGTTTGATCGTCCCTTTTCCCCTTCAATTAACTTGTTTATGTTTTGTCTGGCAACTGCCACTATTGCTGTTAAACGTTGCATTTTCCCATCTCCTGTCAATACATTTTATGATTTCCTTCATTTTCGTTCCACAATGCCTGCTTTGATGCTTCTAAGTTACATTTATTTATTCAACCCGTGTTAGATCGACAACACAAACCTATTTCTTTAGCTCGACTACACGGCCACACCGTCAGAGCAGCTCGCAGCGAAGCGTGTAACACCTAACTAGTGGTTAACCTACTGATGATGGCAAACCATGTAAGAGAATTGTGTTTAAGGATATGGAGGGTCCATAAACAAGTTCATGCCACTCTACAGGTGCATTTTCCTTCTAAGAAAAACTAGGCACCTCTTAGGAATATTTTTCAATAAATTAAGAAAAGTAAGCTATAAAAAATTTATGTGAGGTTGGATATTCATAAATTAATTTTATATATTTTAGATTTATTAAAAAATATTAAAAATAAATTTTACCCAAGCTCTTAGTTTTCAGGTTGGTTAAAAAAATTACATTGATTTGACCAGATCAATTTTAAGCTCTAGCTTTTATAAATTCTAACTGAATTTAGCTGAATCCCGAGTCAACCCACTAACTCAATGCAAAATACGAGATTCATAAGCATGACTCTGAACATTAATTTTATATAAATACAAATTATTTATAGTCAACGACTCAACATATCTATCCAAGGACAACTTATGTGGAATAAACTTTTAACCACCACAATTTTTTAATCATTTGCACCGCAGGTTCTAGCCGCCAGTGGGCCAGTAAAAAGCCGACAGCCCACCACAAAGGTGTTCTTCCATTTACCACAGCAAGCTTAATCAATTCCCAAGCGACTATCCTCAGTTTGAGAGCTTACCTCCGGGCAAGTAAAGAGTTAGCTGAAGCTTTAATAAACCACAGATTTTTCCTTTTCAGCTAAACAAGAACAGACCTGAAATCGCTCACTGGAATTGCTAAGATTATATTTCAAGGAACCAGCTTGTTGAGTTAAGCAGTTTTGACTCCTAGATATGCTGAGTTGTTCAGCAATTAGAGATTTTATTATTAGATTTAGCAGCATTCTATTGTTGCTGGGGTAAGTTTCAGCCTACTTGTCGTTTGTGATCCCGCAAGCTCAGTAACGGGCTAAGCCCCCGCTAAGGTGGTGGCAGCGGTGCTGGAGAGAGCACCGCCAAACTCTTTGCCTCACATGGTGCTGCTAAGGATGTTGTTGCCGCTGTCCTACATAATTCGATGTCAAATTAATTGCCTCACTACCATCTTCTTCTTCTTCTTTTTTTGGGAAAAACAGCAAGAAAAACCCTGAACCTATATAATTTCTCAATCTGGTCATAAAATTACGAACTCGCTTCTCACACATCATTAAAAAATTATGAACTCGATTCAACTCTTAAGAATTCTATTGGAGCTGAGATGATGTAAAATGGAATATAAAAACATCTAGAGATTAATTACATAAAACACAGCACTCAAGTTGGGCTTGAAAAGCCAGACATGATATACAATTATTTCCTGCATTTTATCGATATGTTTAGGGTGTTTGATAATGCACTAATAGTTCTTTTTTCAAGTATTTATCATTTAAAAATATATTAAAATAATATTTTTAAAAAAATTAAAAAAATGAAGAAATTTAAACTAAAAGGAGGCACAAGTGTGTCCGTACGGATGTAGTTTTCTATTTCTAAGAGGCGGCTTGGATTATTTTTCTAGTTTCGTCGAGATTGCCCACCTCCAAATGATTAATTAGGTATTAATTTCACTTCTTTAATAATATATATTGTCTGGCTACCTCCAAATGATTAGGCCGTCTCGTGTAGCTCAAGACAGCTCATTTCTTGGATCCAGATTTTTCTTTTCAATTCTTTATTCGATTTCTTTAATTCAGATCTTATGCACGTAAAACAGATTCGATCACTGTTGATGCCTCTTATTGCTAATGATATCCACCTATGTGCAAATGTCATGGTCATTGATCGAATAATCTATGTTAGCGTGCATTAGCGTAATTAACTATTTCATTATATTATGTTTGTTTAGTGTTTGGATATAAAGTTAACGAATATAAAAATAACAAAAACTTATTTAATTATAAGGATAATATAAAAATATAAAAGTACATTTATTTAAAAAAAATAAAAACAAAAACATTGAAATATATTTCTTATGTCCTTATTGTTTTTATCCTTTCTATTTTGAGGCAATAACCAATAAATTATATATAAATTAAAAAAAAAACTCTCTCCACTTGCTTGATGGAGGCTCATTACAATAAATAATCTAGTGGTGGTTACAAAGTTAGGGAAGATTCTTGTAATTTTTTTTTTAAAAAAAATAGGCTATCATGCTTAGTATAGTTAAGACAAAGAACAAAGGAATGTAAATCCACTAGCTTAGTGGCGATCCCATTTATAATCCACCCTTGTGTTACTTTCTATTAATAATATATATAATTCTCTCTAGTGTGACAAAAGCTTTAATTTTTCTTCTATTTATAATTTATGTTATATAGTTAGATATCCCCAACCTTAACTAATATTTAACTCGGTAATCAATTGATGGATAATGGCTTGGGGACGACATTATTATATAGTTTTTCATTTAAATATTAAGATTTTAGATGAATTGATATACCGCTCATAGATAAAATGAAGTGAATCCCGCAATACTTTTAGGGTGCACGAAGCATAACTTGGGAAAGTTACATATATATATATATATAGCCACATTAAAATATGCTTGACAATTAAAAAAGCAATTCATTTGAAAGTTATAATTTTTACTTTATATAAAAAAACTAAATTTTTACTCGAAATTAGAAATAATATTTTTGATTTTACACAAAAAATAGCTCCAGCTAGAAATATTAATGCAAAATTGACACGACGAAAAGATTGATGTCTTCTCCCAAGTGCAGGAGTGTCGAAGTAATAAATAACCCGGCAAGACCGGGGTCGAACCACAGGGAGATTATTTGTACAAATTATAAATAACAATAATACAACAACAATAACAACAACAACATTAATAATA